TTGGAGTATGCTGACTAGACTTCTACGTGACCACGATTTTTCAGTCACGTCACGGTCACGTTCATAGTCACGGAAATTTTTCGAAATTAGTCACGGTCACGGGAATTTTGGATTACTACCTTGATTTTTGTGCTACAAAATAAAGATTTAAATTGATTTCGTTGATTTCTTCTGTAATAAAACAAAGAAAACTCGTAAATCAATTAAAATCTTGTTTTTTTTTTAGAAAAATCAGATTTTTAATATTAAAATTTATCACCAATAAGTCACGATCACGAGCTATTCGGTCACGGTCACGAGAGGCCGTGACCGTGACCATTTTGCAGAAGTCTAATGCTGACGTACGGGACTTTCGCAATTTCCTCCCTTGATAGCGATGTATTAATTTGCCACAGTCATCAAGTTGTAACTTTAAGAAAATAATCAATATCAGTGTTTTACAAGATATATTTTAGTACGTTAAAATCTACTATAGCTATAATAGATATATGCAATAAGTTTATTTACCCCAGTTAAATCAATGATTAGAATCATAATAATATTAAATTAAGAAAAAATGAAATATTCTTGCAAAAACAACTATAGTCTACTAAGAATTTTCATTGAACAAGAATTTTCTTACTTCCATTCAATTGTTGTTTAACTAAAATTTTTTGTTCATCTTCAAATGAATGTTGTCCAGCAAGTAAAGCTGTTTTTAATTGTAATTTATTTCCTATTTGATTAACAACATTATAAACTTGTTCAGCTAAATCTTGTACAGGTAAAAGAATAACAATACGAATAGCACGTATAACACGATGACGAATACATTGTAATAATGGTATAACATATGTTAAAGTTTTTCCACTACCTGTTGGTGATGATACACAAATATCAGCTAATGGTATTGGTGAATGTGATTGATTTTGTTGAATTAAATAAGGTATAACTTGTGATTGAACAGGAAATAAATATTCAATAGAAAGATCATTAATTAATATTGATCGAATATCTTCATCAAGATAATCAATTTGATTAATAGATATTGTTGTTTCTGTTTGTAATTGTCCACTATCAAATCGTTTAGCTAATGAAGACATCCATTCTGGTAAACGATATAAATCTTTTTTTTTCTTCAATGATAAATTTTCATCGAGAAAATTTGGAAAAATTGTAAAATCTTCTTCGTCTTGTTTTTCTTCAACAGACATTTTTCTTTTATATATAAAAAAAAATTATATCTAGAAAATAAAAGAAGAAAAAAAAACACATTTTCTATAAATAATTATTTTATTCATTATGTCAGAAACTCCCACTAGACATCTGACTATACCACAAGCGAATCAAACATATGGATGTTGATCTTTTCTTCGTCAACAGTCATACCGAACTCGATTACCGAGTTTAACTATTGAAAAAAAGATGTTCTATGAAAAACTTAATCTGACAACCTAATGAAACGAAAAAAGAATAACATACAAAGCCATATGATTAGACTTTATATGCCGAGTGAATAATTTGATTTACTCTCGAGCATTGATTCGCTGTTATATAAGTCTAATCGTCTATTGTGATTGTATTTATAAGTGAGTCAATAATAGATTTCATGCTATATTATAAAATATCAATAATTAGTTCCATTGAAAAGAACTGTTCACAACCTTAAATTAATCTATGAAATAATCACCAAAAATAAAGGAATAATACATTGCAAATTTTATACTTTTTTTTTCAAAGTTATTAAACTACATCAAAAACTTCATATACTGTTTTAGATTTATATGAATTAAGATTTGATTGTTCATATTATGAATAATATGAGTTCGATGTATATTAATATTATTATAAATAGTTTCTAGCAAATAAAAAAAAAAAGAACTTCTATTTTAGAATATCATTAAGAAAAGTGACCTTTGTTTTCGACTGGTATTTTATAAATTTGAATGACAATGATCTATAATAATCATTAAAGAAAAATAAATTGAAGATTAATGAAAATCTCTCAGTCAAAATCATCGATTTTGTTTTCTTAAAGTTTTACAAAAAAAACAAATACTTCAAATCAATTTAACTAAACGTATTTGATAATCTAACATTGATTCCATACTAAAATTATATTATATAAATGATGATTATGGTTTCTTTTTATTGTAATTTAGATACATTTTAAACTATATAGATGAGATAGAAAAAGTTGTTGTGTCGAGTAATCTTTCTAATTAAAATCCAAAACAAGATGCCATTCCAAAAGCGGTTATGTATTAAAATGTATCAAGACGAATTTTTTCAAATAACCTATTAAAGAAAAAGATTAAAAAACATGATGTATTCTAAAACAAAATAGATTCAGTTAAATTTACTATTTTCAATCAAAAAAAATACATAATCATCTAGAAAACAAAGTATTATTTTCTTCAATATAACGTTCTGCGTACATTTCGTTGCTATGAGCAAAATGTAAAACAGAGTGCGAATAAAAAGCAGAGAATATTCTATATATTTTGACTCCGCTTAATACATGAACCATTAAAAGTATTGACTTGAAGTTAATTCAGTAGCCATTTCTAAATGCAACTTGTTTCATAGGGTATATTTGTATAACCAATAGATGTCGCCATTCTATTATAGTTAATATAATAACTAAGTTATATATACAATGTAAAACCCTAAAAGCATATACTTGATATGATATGATTAATATACTCTTTAAAAGAACATTTAAGAAGTACCAAATGTGTAACTACTTTTTATTTTAATATAATTTTATTTTCCAGAATTCATGTAGGCATTTTCGCATCGAAACTTGCGCACGAGATAAAAAAATATCATATTTACAAATATGAAATTAAATAGTCTGATCAATCATTAACTATATTGACTAGACATAGTCTGTTTGATTATTTAATCTAATTAAAATGAGCTTATGCTCAGAACAAATGTGTCCTATATATGAGAGATGGTCATTCACATACGAAACATTTTATTGTCAATTCTTG